AAGATGTGGAAGCCAGAGGAAGGGTTTTTATAAGAATATTTTTTAACTTTCCTTATTCTTGGTCAAAAAATGGTGAATATATTATGAGATCTCAGTCTCTGTTTGTATTTCTGTCTCTCTGTCTCTGTCTTTGTCTCTCTGCTCAGATGAAACCCAGGCCCTCCCTCACACGGAGCTATATCCCATCACATATTTTTCTATGATAAAGGCAAGGCCTGTTTTTTAAAGACCCTACCCAATACAGCAAGAAATCAAAAAGTGGATTTTCCTGATGTGACTGTGCTGTAAGTGAAGAAATAGTAATGGACTCTCAATCTTTTCAAAGACATTCTCTATAATATAGGGAATCTAAGTTAATACCGAGTTTTATCTTCTGGGCTGCACTCCTTTTTTTTCCCTGTATGGACTGCAAAATAATAGTTCAGAAATTTTAATATCTGTTTCGTTAATCTTCCATTGAGAGGTATAGGATTTTTGTCTGATAGCAATTCAAAATCTTTGAATTAAAAAAAATATATAATACTAATTTTTTTATTTTGCTAGTGCTGCTGTTACTTTGTATCACAAGCTGGGTGGTTTCAACAGTAGCCATTTATTTTCTCACAATTCTGAAGGCTGGAAGTCTGACAGCAAGATGCTAGCAGGGTTTGGTTTCTTCTGAGGGCTGCAGGGAAGAGCTATTCCAGGCCTTGCTGCCTGGCTGCAGAGGGCTATGTTTATGTTCAGCAGGTGTCCTGTCTGCGTGGGCATGTGTCCAAATTACCCTTGCTCTAAGGACAGCGGTCAGGTGGAGTTAGGCCCATGCCAGTGACTTTATTCAACTAGACTCTGTCTTCGAATAAAGTCACATTCTGGGAGCTGGGGATTAAGACTTCAGTATTTGCTCCTGGAGGAGCACAATACAACCCATAATACTCTGCACTCTCTCCACATACAGGCACATAAATACTCACTATAGATGATGGTGCAATAATTGATAGATTCTATTCAATCCTAAAGACATTTTAATTCATGGATTTAAATAATCATTGAGCCAGCCTTGCATCACATTTCTAAAATGTATTATTCTTGTACTATATTACTGATGGCCTCCCAAAGTTAACTCACTTATCTTGCTCCAGAAATAAAAATAAACCATGTCTTGTCCTTTCCTCTTGCCACCCATGTTACCAGATTCCCAGAAATATTCTAACTTGTTATTTTGTTTTCTTTTTATAATAGACTGATATACCACATTTTAAAGAACTTTTAGAAAAACTAATGAAATCCAAAAAAGTTTAGAGTTTAGTGCTTGATAATATATTCATATGGGTTCATTGGTTGTGACAAGTGTACCATAGTGATGTAAGAATTAACAGGGAAATTATATTACATATTACATTATAAGGTAGTGGTAACCAAAGCAGTGTGGTATTTGTTGATAGAGAAACAGACACACAGACCATTGGAACAGACTCGAAAATCCAGGAGGAAACCCACACACCTATGGTCAACTGGTCTTCCAGAAGAGCAGTAAGAATGCACAATGGGGATAAGGCGGTCTCTTCAATAAATGGTGTTAAGAAAACTGATAATCCACATGGAAAAGAATGCAATTGGGCTCATTTCACAGCATGTACAAATAAGTTCAAGATGAATCAAACCTAAGACCTAAAACCATAGCATTTCTAAAAAGTATTAACCTAAGACCTAAAACCATAACACTAGAAGAAAATATGGTAAAAGTTCCATGACCTAATTAGTCTTGGCAAGGATTTTTTTTGATATACCACCAAAAACACAGACAAAATAAATAATAGCAAAAATAATTAAGTGGGACTAACTACATCAAACTAGAAAGCTGCACAGCAAAGAAAATGCAACCAACAGTGGGGGAAAGTTTTTGCAACTATATTTTAAGGGGTTAATAGCAAAGATGTATAAGGAGGTCAAATAACACATTAGGAGACCACAGATCATCAGGGAAAGCAAAACAAAAGTACAGTGAGATATCACTGCGTGCTGGATAGGATGGCCTTTGTTAAAAAGTCAAAGTATATCAATTGGTGCGGATATGGGGGGAAACCCCTTATATACTGGTGATGGGAATAGATACAGCTGTTATGGGAAACTATATAGAGCTGCCTGATAAAAGTAAAAACAGAACAAGCACCAATCCAGCAGTCCCAGTTCTGGGTATGTATCCGAAAGGAAGTGAAAGCAGAATCTAGAAGAATTATCGACATCATTATTTTTGTTGCAGTATTATTCACAATACCAAATGAATAAATGGTTAAAGAAAATTTGGTGTATATATACAATGGCATGTAATTCAGTCTTGAAAATCATACTGTGGCAGTATAGATAAACCTGGAGGATGTTAGGCTAAGTAAGATAAGCTAGAGACAAATAGATAAATACTGCATGATCTCCTTGTATGAAGAATTTAAAGAAATCAAATTTAAAAACAGAGTGTGTGCTTACCAGGGAAATGGGGGGATTTGGCCGGAAGAGTACAAGCTTTGAGTTATATAAAATGAACATTTCTGTTGACCAAATGGACAGTATGATGTCTATAGTTACTAATAAAGCACTGTATACGTGAAATCTAAGAAAGATATTCAGCATTCTTAACCACATACCAAAGGTAGTCATTTAGGCGATAGATATGTTAATTAGCTTGATATGGCAATCACTTCACTAAAAATATATACAAATCATCACACTATGTACTGGGAAATATATTCAGATTTAATTTGTCAATTTTAACTTGCTAAACATTGAAAAAATTAAAAAAGAATGGGGGAGCTGGAATCTATGTGATGGGGTATATATGATGATTGTTTTGTATTCTCTTTGCAATTTTTCTGTAAAGTGGAACTATTCTAAAATAAAAAATAAAAACTTATTATAATACAAAAGCATTCCTGGCACACATAGCCATTCCATGGATATTGTGGTTAGAACAGTCACACAGTTAAACTGTTGTGGTTATACCTCTGCTCACACACCTTTCTGTCCAAAGGACAGGTTAGACATGGCCTCTAGAGGACAGTGTTGCATCAGAGAAAGGTCTTTATGCTTTCTGCTCAGGTTGCTGGATTTCGCATTCTTTTTAACCACAAGGCCTGTGTGTATATTCATTATTCTTTTTTTCATAAACAGTAAGGAAAATGTGCACCCTTCTGCTGCTCTATTGGGTATCTTCTCTCAGCCTATTATTTGGGTTTAATTTTGGCTGCCGAAAGACCTGCAAAGGAAGAATGAGCTCAGAGCTTTCACCCCAGTGTCCCCCACCCCACCACAGCACACAGTGTGGGTCACCTGCATGTGTCACCTTGAGTTTTCACATGAAAACCTGAAGCGGTCTGCAAGCAGAGCAGTGGAGATGCTAGTGAGATAAAGAAGGGCTGTCATTTGGCGAAGCTTGAGACTGCTCTACAGTGACTCGTCAGAAGCCGGGGAAAACGGGGAGGAAGTCATTGCTCTGGCTTACGGAGCAAGGATCTGGAGACACCCCGTGTTTTAAGATGATTGCTCTGTGGGGAATCTCATGAGACTGACACGCTGTCTTTAAGAGACTCCTAAGGTGGGGAATTCAGAGTGCCGCTTGCTCGAGCACCTCAGAGCTGTATGAACATTAATCATTAATTTACAAAATGCTCACCTTGGCCCCGGAGGCAGCTGAAGATGGTCGTTCATGTGTTGATGGGCTGAGACATTTGGAAACACTCTGGCCTTAGAAGCATTAGATTTTTGCGGATAGTGGAGCCTCAGGGCTTCATTTACCCGAATGGTGAATGAGTATAAACATTAAAAAATAGTTATTTGGCTGACTGTATTCCACTTAGCAGCAACCTATAGTTTATTTTTTGCTCAAACAATAAATCTGTTAAAAGCTCATCTGTTGAACTGGGATCTATGAGCCTTTTAATAGGATTTTTTAAAAGGAATGGAAAATTTATAGCTCCTCATAAACAGACTGGCATTAGTTAATGTCAGGAGTGCTTCACACAGCCACTCCATCAAAACTGAACCCATGGGCAGAGATCTGTTGCATTCTCATCTAATAGTGCAGGGTACTGAAAATTCTCTGTCTGAGAAATAGTGTTCCCTTAATTTAGCAGTACCCAGCCAAAGTCTATTAATCAGGTAGTTACTTAACAAATATTGCAATGGTTTGAGATGTAGTTTGGTACTAGAAATAATGACTGGCTGCCAACCAAAGGCAACAGTGTATCTCACTTGAGCCAACCAGGAACTAGAGAGTGAGTTGCCCTTGACTCTGCTTTTTTTCTTCTTATCCCTGATGGGCGCAGAACCAAACTTACCCATTTCACTTTTTAAACATTTGTTGAAACAATCCACTTCTCTCTCCATGGCCGCCACTCCAGGCCAAGCTGGCATCGTGTCTGTGTTGACCACTGACAAAGCCACCTCACCCCCACGAGAGTGATCTTTCAAAATACACATCCCCGAGACGCTCAGTGATCTCCTGTTGTTCTTGGGGTAACAACCAGCGTCACTTTCATGGATGAGGCTTTGCAAGGTCTGTTCCCCATGTCTCTCCAGCTTCCCTGTGCAATATGCTCCTTGCTGCTGTTGCAGCCTCTCTGCCTCCCTTGTCCCCACAGCCCTGGTAGCTGGGGCTCCCCCTGCCTGAGTCTCCCCTCCTGTCTTAATCTTACTACCCTCCTCTATGTATCCTTGATGAATCAGCTCACATGTTATTTCATATGAATGACTTCCCTGCTCTCTTGGTCTTGGAAAATCTTATTATATGCTCCTACAGAACATGATTATTTACTTCATTTTTTGCTGCATGTACTGAGAATTAGACACTTGCTTTTTGGTTTTCTGATTGATGTATATCTCCCCTGGAAGAATACAGTTTTGTGAGCAGGGATCAAGCCCAAATGTCCTCATCATCAAACTCCAGCACTTGGCATGGTACCTTTACAAAGTATTGTTCAGTATAAATATTAAGTAAGTAAATGGCTATTTCTTTATTGAATGCTTAGGTAGAGGAAGAAGAACCCACAGGATACATTCGATATGAAAAGTTTCTTCCAGTGATGACCAAAGTACTTCTGGAAGGGAGGTAAGTAAGTAAATGCAATTTAAGGCAAGCTAATGGTTAGGATTACATTACATTTAAGCATGTGGCTTTTTCACTTTATGCATTTTACTCCCAATATCTTAGTTTGGCTTCTTTCTAATCACTTAGTGTACTGAATTGCCAGTTGCTATGCTTAGAAAATCAACCATGTTACTTTTCTCTAAGCAAAGCCTAATCAAAAGTGAAAGAAGCTACAAAGATAATAAATCAGCAATATCCTAATCATCTACTATTTCAATGGTCAATTATAAATAAGAATTAACTCCAGTTATTTTTCTTGTAAAGTATAGCATTAGCTTACTAAAGTTGGTTGATTGTAGAGGTTTTGTTCCTAGATAAATTGACTTCCAAAATGAGAAAAAGCTAATAGATAAGAGGAAATATGCCAATGTTTTAAGTATTTCCATGGGAGTAAGGTACAATTGATTTTCATATTTAGAAATCTAAAAGTATTTCAGTGAGGGAAGCATCATTACCCTAGTATGTTAGCAACTTTAATTTTTAGTGTTCATTTATAATGCAGAGACTCAAACACTGACATTAACTCTCTTATGGCATAATTATAGATACAGACCAATTCCAGATGATGTCCTTCTTCAGGCTTTTGAGGTGTGTATGCTCCAGCTTATTCATAGACACAAGGGATAATCAACTTATGGTAAATGCTTAAGTTAAACATTTATTGTGGTGAAAGACACATGCCCTTCAATCTTCCTAAAAGTCCTCAGTTTCACTTATCCCATCCTTCTTGCCATTTCCTGAAGCAGTTCTGGAGGTCTCCTGTCATGAGAGTCTGTGAGTTATGATTAAAAATACACTGAGTGCTGCCTCCAAGTGCTGTCCAGTGGGAAGGCGGGCTTGTAAATCCACGAGGGTGATCTGGCACCGGGTAACCTCTGCTCTTCCTCAGAGCCAAAGGACCAGGAAAGGTGAATGATTCGAACTGATTCAGCACACTGAGGCAGCCGAGAAAGCTCAGCTAGAAACTCGGGAAAGAGGTTTTCCAGACCGCTTCAAAAAGTGGCAAGAATGTCTGAAACAAATGGGACTGTTTTGAAGGAGATTAATGGCAGTGTCTCTTTAATTATAATAAGTTTTAAATATTAAACAGGTGTTTTTCAGTCATACTTAGTATATAAAAAATTTTTTATGTAAAATTTATTAACCAAACAAAATATGTAATATCTGCTTCTCCCCCTAGACTTTAGATTCGGCTAAACGTGGATTTCTTACTAAGGAAGAATTGATCAAGTATATGACTGAAGAAGGTAAGAGTGCTTAATTACTTATAACAGTGATGGGATTAATAGTTTCTTTACAACAATTTTTAAAAAGTTATAGGGTATTCTTTTAAAATCAATAATTTTAGTTAAAAGAGTTACCTATTATTCTTATCATTTTGATTTGAGAGTTGGAAGTTAAGAGGATAAAGAATAAGATAAGGGAAAACAGATTATTGCCTTATAGGCTTTTGTATGATAGAAGTTTAATAATTAATTCTATAAATTGTGGTAGTTTGCCAGGTATAAGCCTGTAGTCACAGTGCCCTGGGAAGATAAGGCAGAATTCCAAGTTCAAGCCCAGCCTGGTTAACCTGGGGACAGGTGAGAACCTGTCTAGAAAAAAATGTTTTTAAAAAAAGGTTGAGATGTAGTTGCGTTTGAAGGCTCTTGGTTCAATCCCCAGTACCACACACACAGACACACAGACACACAGACAGACAGACAGACACACACACACACACACACACACGCAGCCACTTCATTCATGGAGTATTTCCAGAACAAAAGCACCTAAAAAGCATGATCTATAAATCAATGCCTTTATTAGATCAAAGATTTTAATTGGAGTATACGCAAAATTTCTTTCAAAAGAGTTTGATAATAATAATACAGCCTCAACTGAATATGAACTTGCACCAACATTTCATATTTTATGCTAATGGAAACATTTATATTTTCTTTGAACATACACTGATGCATACACACATATGTCAACATGATTCCCATTAGGATTTTCCCCAACTTCAGCCAGCATGTAAATCCATTTGCCTGGGAACAGCCTCGAGGAACCATTCTTGTATGGGCTCCCTCTTCCCCTCCTATAGTCAGTTAAGAGTTGTGTCTTCTTTGCTCAATCCATTGCTTCGGAGACTGAATCTTGGGTGATTCTGAGTCACTTGAGACAGGATCAGAATAAGACATCTACATGCACAACTGGTTTGACAATTTTTGCTAGACCCACCATTAGGTAGAAGAACAAGAAATGAGGGTAAGAACAACACAGCAATTGTGGCAGCCACCCAGGAGCTCCCAGGGCATGTTTATGTCATCCCAGGGATTAACTGTGGTGGGAATGTTACCACTTTCAAAGCGTTCCCCTTTTAATCATAAGGATTAAAGGAAGTACTACGTTAGCACCGCGAATGTAGTCAAAATGGCCAAAAGAGTTCAGCTTAATGACTGCCGTGTGCCTGTTTTGTGTGTTGGGGCAGCAACATGACATCGCTCCCTCTCCCAGGGATGTTACAATCTTATTGGGAGAACAAAACTAATTGATTAGACAAATCACAATTTAAGACCGTAGAAAAGTAAATATCAGAAGATCAATGCAGGGTGGAGCAGCTTGAAAATCTAACAAAAAATAGGTTCCAACAAAACTAAAGAAGGTAGAATTTGTTGGGTGAGTTGTTGAGAGCAGGGGTAAAATCTTCTGCCTCCCAGTCCCCTCACACACTGTCGGTCTCATCAGATTGTTGTGGCAAATTAGCTGTGAGTGGAGGAGCCGGCAGCTGTGGAAACGCGGGGAGAATGGGCTGGGGAGCCGCACAAGGGGTGCCGCGGCGTGGACACAGGTGGCGGGTGGGATGCACAGGGCTCGTGGTCTTGCTGGCCTGCAGGAGGGTGTTAACCGAGATAGCTTTCTGGGAGCAGGCTGCGGAGGCCTGGCCCGGGAGCTGGGACTGTCCTTGGGCGATGGAGCATTACAGGGCTGTGAGGAGATGAGTCACACGGCGCGGGAGCGATTGTGGGAAAGTTGTTCAGGTGCCCGCAGGTTTGTTAGGCTGCGGGGAGCAGTCAGAGGCCAGCTCAGCCTCCTGCAGGCACCTCAGGGCCTGGCCTGGCAGTGCAGGGGAAGAAGGGATCCTACAGTGGGGCTCTGGCCGCAGGATCCCTGATCCCTGAGTTAGGAGGAGTAACAGCGGGCAGCGGACAGTGCTGCGGCAGAGTCAAAAATAATTGCCCGGCTCGACAGCCCGGATGGATTGTGGGCGTTGTGGTAACGCGGGCGGCTGCAGCAGGGAATCCAGGAGGTCGCGCAGCATACAGAAACCGTGCACGGTGCCAGTGTGTGATTTACTTGGAGGTGCTGTATGACATAGGAATTTCCAAAAGGCAAGCTGACAGAGAGTTAAAGTATTTAAGGGTCAATGATTAGTTATTTTAACAAACCAAGCAAAGAAAAAAAATTGATTTCAAATATGTGCTTTGGTTTTTCATTCAACAAATATTATTCAGTGCCTTTCCCATATGAGCTAATGTTTGATGGTGACATAGGAGAGATATAAAGTATTATACAAATGTAAGGTGTTATTAAATATAAAAGATCTGCCATCTAACTTTGTTTTGGAAATAAAATGTGGCAATTTAATAGTATCTTTTTTTTAACACCAAGTACATTTATTAGAAAAGAAAAAAGTTATGGGATAACCTCATATTTTTCCTTAAGAAATTAAACATAAAAGACAGAATAAGACCAGAAACGAAAGAGGAAAATAATAAAGATCAGAAAACACAATCCCTTATCAAAATGCCAACATCATTTTTAATAAAAATGAACATTTTGATTCTTACATTTCTGTAAAATACAAAGACTCAGAGTAGTCTAAGCAACTTTGATAAAGGAACAAAATTAAAACTCTAACCCTCCCCAATCCCATGACTTATCACAGTTACACCAATCATGACAAAATGGTGTTGATATCAAGATAGACCTCTAGAGTAACAATATGAAGTCCCAAGATAGATACCCATGTAACAGACCATTGATATCTAGAAAAGATGCAAAAGCAATTAAGTGGAGAAGGATTGTATCTTTAATAAATATACTGAACAACTAGATAGCCACATGCAAAAACCCAAACCTTACAGCACATCAAAAATTTCTCAAGACGTCCAAAAGTCACCTCAAAACAGTTCACAGAGGGTTAAAGACAGGTGTGGCCTGAATCATTGCTCTGGCTGAAGTCATTCTGTCTGGACAAAATACATGTTTTTTCTTTTAGCTTTTCACACTAATGAAACAATATGATGTTCTATACATGCATGATATATTTATTTCACTAATAAGTGTGTTCTCAAGGTGTATCCATTTGCCTATAAAATGTGCAGTTTATCACTCTTTATGGCTGAGTAGTATTCCATTGTATAGAAATACCACATCTTTTTTATTCATTCCTCAGTTGATAGGCATATAGATTGTTTCCAAGATCTGGCTATTATAAACTGTGCTGCTATGAGCATGGGTGTACATGCATGGCTGTGGTATGATGTTTTTCATTCTTTTGGGAAGATATCCCAGAAGGGGAATAGCTGGGTCAAATGGGTCCTCTAGTCCTAGCTTTTTGAGGAATCTCCATAGTGATTTCCACAGTGGTTGCAACATTCTGCATTCCTACCAACAATGCAGAAGGGATCCTTTTCCCCCACAGCCCCTCCAGCATTTGTTATTGGTTGATTTCTTATTACTAGCCATTCTTTCTAGTGTAAGGTGGAATCTCAGTGTTGTTTTAATTTGCATCTCTCAAATGACCAGTGCTGCTGAACATTTCTTCACGTATTTTTTGCTATTTGTACTTCTTCATCTGAGAAATGTGTGTTCATCTCAGTTGCAGATTTTTGGATTGGGTCTTTAAATCTGGGAGGACTGATTTTTTTTTTTTTTTAGTTCTTTTTATGTTCTCGATAGTAACCCTTTATCTGAGAAACAGGTGGCAAACATTTTCTCCCATACTGTGGGTTATCTCTTCACTATGTTGGTGGTTTCTCATGCAGTGCAAAAGGTTTTCAATAGGATGAGATCCCAGTTGTTGATTCCTTGTAGTAAGTCCTGTGCAATCTGGGTTTTACTCATAAAGTCTTTGCCTACACCAATGTCTTCAAGAGTTTTACCTATTCTATCTTCCAGCAGATTTAATGTTTCTGTTTTAATAGTAAGATCTTTAATCTATTCTGATTTTAGCTTAGTACATGGTGAAAGATATGGGTCCAGTTTTAATCTTCAGAATATGGGAAGCCAGTTTTCCCAACATTATTTTATTAAAGAGACTACTTTTCTTCCAGTGAATGTGTTTGGCACCTTTGTCAAGGTGTGTCTGCAGTTATTTCTGGATCTTCTAATCTATCTATCTTTTCCATATGAGCTAATGGTGATATATGAGATGCAAAGTATTATACACATATAAGGTGTTATTATTAAGTATAAAAGACTTGCCATCTAACTCTCATAACAGCTGACTAGCCTACTAAAATATCTGCGTAGCTGGTAGCTGGAGATACTCAATTTTCTAAACTGTTTTTAAGTACTTTTAAGCTTAATAACATAAAGTTACTTGTACAACTTTCTACAATATTCACAGAGAATCAAATATATTGATAAGTTTGAGAATATATGCTCTAAGTGCCCAGGAGGTCATATGATAAATATCATAAGTCACAATGAATTTAATTCCTACGAGATTAAAAATCTACACGTCTAGGAATTTGTATTGCATTGTTTAGTGGTAGGAGAAAGTTCAGAAGCATTTTCCAAATAAATACTTACATGTTGCTGCCGATGTGTCAGAAGCAGTTCTAAGTGATAATCAAATAATTGCACATTTAATGGTTGTAGCAATCCAATGGGTAGAGAGTATTGTCACATCCATTTATAGATGGGGAAACTGAGGCACCAAGCTTGGCCTTGGTTAAGCAGCTTGGCCAAGACCTTAAGGATAGTTAGAGCCAGCATTGGAACCCAGGCGTCCCTTAAAATCAAACACTGTGTTTCTCCTTTACCAGGAGCTGGGCGTTGTTCTAAGTGGCGGCTGTGGTGGTTTAGCTGGTGGATGATGAGCTGGACTCCTGCCCTTCAGATCCAGCAACCCTCACCCCTTTGCTGGGGCCAGTTGCGCAGTTTCCTCTACCATCGGTGACACAAGTTCTTACCTCTCAGCTGTGTTAGGACACTGATTAACTCAGTGTATGTGACGTGCTTAGATCAATGCCCGGCACACAATATTGCTCCCTGAATGTTGGTTACTTAATATTCTTTTAACAGCTTACATTAGAGTTCATTTAGCAGTAGATTTTGTGTGTCATCATCGGGTTTAAAGATGAATAGGAATTTGTCATTTTTAGCAATTCAGCCTTTCTTCCCTTCATGAGGATGTAGGCATGATTTCCAAAGCACTCTGGAGCACATTTCTCTTGTTTCACGGTACTACCTTCACTGTCATCAAATCCATACTGAATAATTTCAGTATTAGTAAGTGACTCCCAACCAGGGAAGCACTGCTTGTAGTGGTAGGTGACTTAGGCTCATGGAGTAAGCAGACCTCAGACGTTGGTGACTTAGCTGCTTGGGTAAAACTCTCCCTCCAGAGCCAAAGGCAGTGATTTACATGTTCTGTATTTAATGTTAGGACAGAACTGTGTCCTAACATCTTATTCTTTTCAACTTTCTTCCTGAGTTGGCTTTTCCTCTTGGTGAAACCCATTTCCAAGACAGCTCTCAGCTGTTACTTGAATCCAATTAAACCCACAGGTTTTCTCCGCTACTTCAACTTTGGACTGAACTCTTAAAAGGAGGACTTTGGAAATGGTTGATGAATTGTATCTTTTGCTAGGGTCAGTGGGCATCACTGACCTGGCTCAGACGGGTTAGGAAATATTCCCAGACAGAGTTGTTACAGTCTCAGGACTTTTTATCTGCTCTTCAGTAATTTTGCAGAGCAAACATCGAATGTCTCTTTATACTCTGACTACACATAATAACCAACATCCCTGTAAGACTGAGGCTTCAGGCCAATCCTTTGCAACTTGAGTCATTTTAACTTAAATCAGTAAAACCTGTGTCTATGAGATGTGACTCTGGTAATGGATTCCACAGTTGCTTGGTCTATAAGGCATAAGGGGAAGGTGAGCCCACAGCCTGCCAAGGTATCCAGCAGCATGCTTTCTGAGGGCTGGCCCTGCAGCACCGGGAAGAGATAGGGAGTCCCATGGCCATTAAGCTGGCTAGTGAAAAAAGAAAGACAAAGTCAGACTACTGTGAATGATGGATTTACCGTCTTGTCTCTCCCAGGTGAGCCTTTTTCTCAAGAGGAAATGGAAGAAATGCTGTCAGCTGCAATTGATCCAGAATCAAATTTAATTCATTACAAGGATTACGTAGCAACAATGGTGATAGATGAAAGCTGAATATTCTAAAGACTTACAGGAGAATTTGAAAAGCTGCTTGTCCTTGTTAATTTCATACTGTAGCTTGTAATTTCCATATGTAATTAAATATCCATTAAAGATACTTAATTTCTTGTGACATAGCTATTTCAAGATATTTTGTTTTCTATTGTTTTTGTATTTATTTTTGAAATAGGTTCTTGTTTTATAGTCCTGGTCTGCGTTGAACTTTCTACATAACCCAGGCTGGCTTCAAATTCTTGATATTTCTGCCTCAGCCTTCTGAATCCTGGAATTGCAGGCATGCACCACCACACTTGGCAAGATATTTTGTTTTCTAAAGACAATCATAACAATTAAAGACAAAAGTTTATTTAGTATATTCAGTCTTATGGAATTATAAATTGGTAATTATTTAAAAACATTTTAATATTAAAATGGATTATTTTCTACAATAAAGTCCATCTTACCTTAAAATTAAAAAAACACCTGACAAAATTAAAAATACTCATAATGACCCAAGGCTTGACATAGAAAGATCTTAGGGAGGAACAGAATGACCATAAATTGAAATGAGAAGCAATAAGATGAAAATTTCTTTTTTAAGAAATAAATACATCAGTAATCAGAATGTGGAAGAAAGGTTTTTGAAATAACTATTAATAATTGTGTGACAATTATAAATCTCATTTGAGATTTAACAGTGTAAAGATTGTATTTGCTTTTGTAGCATGTTACTATTTATGGAATGGCTAAAGGAGTTAAGATAATTGAATCTAGAGAAAATGCTGAATGAAAAAAATTTTATTAGTATAAGTTTATGGTGCGGAATGTTTACATTCCTTGTGGGGAGGTGGTACATGTACTGAATGAAAACTGATAGTGTCAGATACTGACAGTTTCTCTCTTGCTCTTTAGAATTCTCACCCACTCAGAATAATCTGTGTGGAAAAATATCCTGAATATTGAGTGTCAGCTCATTTGTTGCCATAACAAAATGCCTAAGGTGGACTAACTTTGTAAGAAAAGGTTTTATGTCACCCACAGTTTTAGGCATTTGAGGTCTAAATAGTGCTGTGCAAGCTCAACAAGGGCCTCCCCTTGATACAAGGTCCCCATGCAGATGGTGTGTGGGGTGAGCAGCCCAGGCTGACCAGGAGCAGAAGGTTAGGAGGGCCAGGCCGCTCCCTGCACAACAGCTCCCTCTCATGGGCTGTCTGAAGAGTATTCCAGTAACCTGAGGATCCCCCAATGGTCCCCTCTCCTGAAGGCTCCACCTCCAGGGGATGCCACCGTGAGGACTAGGCCTCCAGTAATTTGAACGTGGGCACATGTACACCATTAAACCATATCCAAACCATGACACAAAGTAAGAATATTGAGAAATTACTTGATGTTCAGCTGTTTAAAAGGACCGAATAAAGTTACCTGGTACAAAGGGTCACAGTGGAAAAATACAGGCAGACTTAAAGGGGAAATGAATGGTCTTCTATCTCTATTCTTTCATATGGTTCTCAAATACACACTGAATGTCCCCCAAAGGCCTATATGTTAAAATATTGATGCCCAGAGTGACTCTTTTGGGAGGTGGTGGAACTTCTAAAAAGCCGGGTTAGTAGGAGATCATAGGTCCCTGGAGGTGTGCAGCAAAAGGGATAGTGGAAACTCATTCCCTTTTCTCTTTTTGCTTTTTGGGTACCATGAAGTGAGTAGCATTTTCTGCTGTGTGCTCCTGCCTTGCTGCAGGTCCAAAACCAACAGTGGCCTAAAACCTCCAAAATTGTAAGCCAAAATAAAACCTTTCCTCTTTCTAAGTTAGTTAATTCAGGCATTTTGTTACAGTAATGGAAAGCTGACTAATACACCAACTGCATGTGTGTTTGCACATGCAAACAGGTGAGAATGTAAGACCGCTGGGGTTCTTCTTCATATACATGTAGTCCAAGACGGGGATATGCTACTCAAAGAAAGGTTTATCTCTGTTCATTCACAGAACATATATTGAGTATAATTAGGTAACTTGGTAGGAACCAGAGTTGAAAGATGAATATGTCTCTAAATTGTGAGGATCACAGTTTAGTAGGGGAGAACTCAAGTCATTCAGCAAAACGGGTTCAGCAGAGTCCTATGGAAATGCATAGGAGAGGCAGCAGACTCTGCCAGGGGTAAAGGATGCTCCTCAGGGTAGGTGGCACGTGACTTGAAAATGTAGCAGCTTTTTGACCTAGTAGTTTGCTAACTGGGCATCAGGGCGCAGGGCTTGTCAGCAGGGGAATAGCAGGGACCAAACCCCAGTGGTGTCATGAATACCCAGTGGGCTGGGAAGTGAAAGTCAACCTTTGTGGTTGGCATTTAGTAGATTTGGGGGACCCTGTCAGACATGAACTTGGAGTCATGGACAGAGCAGTACCATAAAGGATATCGGGTTAAGGGTAGAGCTAAGGTTCTAGGCTTAGAGTTTATAGTTTATTCTAAAGGTCATAAAAAATAAGGGTATTGCTGGTAAATATGGCTGGAAAATAGATTGGAAGGGTAAAGATTAGATCTGAGGAGAGCAGCTGAGCACAGAGGGAGGAGTTTTGGCAGATGGGGTGTCTCTGGCATGTTCATGTCCTAGAGGCCAAGAGCCACCTAGAGAGCGGAGGAGCTGTGTTCCAGGGTGAGAGAGAGATTGGCTTAGGAGTGATGAACCAGCTTACATAGTTCCTGCCTGATGGTCCCTTCCCTCTCTTCCTCCTTCCTTCCCTCCCTTCCTTTCTGCTCACATATGGGTTACAGAGCTTGAAGAGAGAGTTTGATGTATCTCTTGTGGGAAATGGGAGATGGAGTTGAGAAAGCCCCTTGTGAGTTTCCAGAAACTCTGGAAGGTTTTGCTTAGTTATCCAAGCTCAGGAGCAAAAAGGTAAATTGTCGTACTGAGTCACGCTGAGATTTTGTTTTGTGACAGGGATGGAAGGAACCAAAGGTCAAGAGAGTAGACAAACTGGAAGTGATGGTCCTTGGGTTGCGGTGTTAGAGAAGATTGATGAGGAGTGGGCCACAGGCAGGGCCGAGGGTCAGGGCACAGGGTTCTAGAAGGGCACCAGCCAGTGCGGAGGGAGCAAGGCTACTTGCCTTTTCTCCATTCCTAGGTATCAATCATATGCTTTGTTGGAAATTTGACACTGTTGAGTTCCTAGAGTGTTTCTCTTATTCTCCTATGTTGTTATAATTCACAGCTTAGCTAACACTTATTAGCTGCTCGCTGTGTTTAGGTCCTATGCTAAGTGCTTTATGTATGACTCATTCAGTCCCCTCGACCACCCAGTGAGATGGGTCCCATTTCACACAGCTAGAGGGCTGTGTGATCAGCCTTTTCCAGGGGATGCTGTGATAACATGCCTCCGGATGGCAGTGGTTCACAGCACAAATGTCACGTGTTGTTTATGTTTTGTCAGCCAGGACTGTGCTCTGGGGGTGACTTCATTCCCCCTTTCTTCCTAACTGAATAACCATGCATTCCCATCTGCCCAGGCAACCCCGGCCTGTGCTGGCTGACTCAACATGGTCCTGACGAGATCTCCCTTTTGCTCTTAGAAGTGACCCAGTCTAGATAAGTTGCATGTACCTGTTACACTCATCACAAGATAGAGATCAAGATCAGAACAAGGTGAAGATCACTCCTGGGAGGTTTTAGTGAGACAGTAATGGAAAACATGTCTTTCTTTAGTAGTTTCTCAAGATTAAAAAAATTTTTTTTCTGGGATCACTTGGAATTTTCATGGGGTAAAAATCCAAGTGAAGAAACTCAGTCGTGCCTTTTAAAATCATTGCCCAGAGATGAGCCTGAGCGAGCAACCGTGTGTCAGGGCCCTCAGAGCTGAGACAGGCTCCTTGTGACGGTGACACACTGCAGCTGGGACAGAGGGTGGCAGTGATGTGGAACATCCTTCATGGCTGCCGTATACACAGGGTGCCTCCCTCAGCAGGCTGGCACTAAGGTGGAGCCATAGAGCCTGCTCTGTGCTCAGTGCATGAACACAGGCAGTGACTTGTTTGCATGATGCTGGTACGCCAAAGACACACAGCCTAGTGGGTGAACCCCAACCTCTTCATAATCAAGCCGAGCTAGCGTACCCCCCCCCATGTACTCCACACCCAGAAGGCAGCAGACCAGAGATGCTTCAGGATCAAGTCCCCTTCCCCCGTCCCACCTCTGGAATCCTTTCAGAAGTTCTAACTGATGTCAAGCTCTGCATCTGTCTCAAGGGTATCCTTTCCGCTTGGTAATCACAGAGCTGGGTTAGAGGGGTGTAACTATCTTTTGCCTTTGCACCGATTCTCTATTTCTTTTTAAATACTACGCAATACAGCACAGGTTTCCCATTCAGATCTCATTTTATTTCACGGTTGCCAGGTTTGCAACCTTTGCCTGTTTGCAAAAGGAACTCTTCTATGTCTTTGTGCTGGGGATTGAAACCAAGGCCTGGCATACACTAAGCACACACCCCACCACTGAGCTGTGCCCCTGGCCGGATACTTTTCTGTATACTCAAACCATTTTGTGGTGTATTTTATCTCTTAATTGCCTACCTTGTTCTGAGCATCCAATTAAATTCATAGTGGCATTTTCCTGGCAAGAAGAGCTCAGGCTGTTGTGCAGAAGGTTTGCTTATCCTAAGAGTCTGGCCCAATGGCCTTGCCTGCTCTGTGGAAAGAGGCTGTGTTCTCACACTTTGGGGCTGGGGAAGCTGTGTGACTCAGGCCTGAGAGTCTGACACTCTTGTGTGCTGATCCTGCTTTACCTGTGACTCACCTCAGCCAGGCCTTTACCAGCTCCACACCTCTGTCTAGAAGACAAAGAATCCTGTCTGGTCCCCTAAGCAAGCATCAAATGCCCAAGGGTTTAATGCCTGAGAGAGACAGACAGCCAAGATAACAGGCTGATTGGGAGGACAGCTGGTAGTTCAGGGCATGATTATTTCCTTCCTGTCTCCCTATTCCTTTTCTGTTTCCATATATAAGAAATTACCTTGTTTGTACAAGTAATTCTTCGTAAGATCAATGTCACTGTATAATTGCTCAAATAAACAGTCTTGTGGTCATGTGGGTTCCCATCTTGTGCCAGGCAGAGTGGCTTTTCCCTACTATTTCTGAGAGAGTGGTCACCCATTAGAAATTCAGACACCCATGTCCCATTCCAGACCTCCAAACTAGAATCTCTGGAAATGGGGCCAGCAACCTACATCTTCAGCAGACATCCTCGGGCACACATGTGTTTCAGAGTCACCACCTGGGTGGTATTATGTTGGGAAAGCATAGGATTTGGAGGTGGGCTCTGTCACTTAACAGATCATGTGATTGGCACAGGCATTTGAGTTTCCGCACCTCAGTGTAGAAAGCGGAAAGAACACCTGCTTTACTTATAGGGGTGGTGTGAAGACTGAGGTCATAAAAGTGACAATTCTCTAAAAGCTGTAAAGTATAACACAATTATTATTTATAGAAAACCAGCCAGGGAGAGAGGGAGGGACAATCAGGGACAGAGATTAGCTCTTTGGCCCACGTGTAGACAGAGTGTGGGAAAGTAGGTGGCTAACAAGAAACCAGCTTAGGGGTGAGGACAGTGAGCTTGCCAGGATGTGTTTGGGGAGATGCGGGACTGGCTGTCATGGCGCCATCAGCAGAGGTAAGATCTGAAGTTCATGTCTACGAGGTGAAATCAGGGGGGTTTAAGAGGGAGGTTTTCTTTCTTATTCTCTTTCTCATCTCTCCTTCCTCTTCCTTCTTCTCCTCCCCCTCTTCCTTTCCTCCTCCTTCATCTTTTTTCTCCTCTTCTTCCTCCTCTATTACTGATCCATTATAGTACTTTTAAAGCAGTATGAATCTGACTTCACCTTGTGGACAAAATATTTCATCATTGAGAAGTTTTTCTGAAACAATACACAAAAAAATTTCAATTCAAAATCTGAGGTTGCCTCTTGTTTCTTTGCTCAGGGGACGGCTATATACATGGCTGGTCCAAATGTCAAATCTGTTTTTCTCTACCAAATCTTCAGCTATTCCTAAGAAATCTTGAAAGACACTTTGAATCACTTATTGCTGTTCATGAAATGAAACAGGGTTCAAATGTCATATGACTTTAAATATAGGTTTAAAACATGTTCAGGTTTGTTTTATGTTTGAAATGCTTAGTTTGAAATGTCTTGCTAGCTGTCATGGTACCATTCCAGCCCTGGTTACCTGCTCAAAGCCTGAAACTAACTTAAGAAAACTTCATTGTTAATAGGTACAAGGCATGATCACAAAACATAATAAGTTTTAAAATTGAATACAATAAAACACATGTTATCATTAATCTCCCTCAAACTACTGCCTCGCCCTTCAAACACATTTCTCCTTTCTTTCCACTTGCTGAAGCATTCTGGAAGCCCTCTTTCACGAGTGTCTTTACGAAGCATCATGAAAAACACAGTCACCACTTCTGCTAAGAGCCTCCCCGTGGAAAGCAGGCTTTGTAAAACAGTGGGCTGTGTCCTCACCCGTCCTATTCACTGAATGCATTACTGTGCAACTTCTGGCTCTTTCCCAAACACAAATGACCATGAAAGGTAAACATTTGGGGACTGACTCAGGACATCGAGGTAGCTACTGCTCAAGCTAAGTCACTGCCAGCCTGACCCAGTCACTGAGCTTATCAGCTTGTCACCTTATGCTTGCTGAAAACATGTTTGATTAGGAGTTGCAAATGGTGATCTTTAAAAAGAAGTCTCTCCTACACAGTGGAATTCCTCTACGAAAGATGATTTCCCCCAAATGACTACTTGAAATACAGTTTGTAGAACAAAGGTAAAGCAGTTTTCTTGATTTTTAACTTTTCAGATAAGCGCTTTTGATTTCTTTTAAGAACATGCATTTTGATTACCTTGTATATCACAGATGGGTATTGATATTGTTCATCCACGTCCCTTTGGTGAAATTTAAGTCCTTATGTGGGTTACAGGCTACCAAAGCATACACAGTAACTTTCTTTTTGCCTTATTAATTTCTGGTGAAATTTACAGTGTTTGCATTAGCAGTTACACTGCTATTTCTGTTGCAGGGAATCTGTTTTTCATGTGTGTAGAAGTGAAATGTTTGGAATTTAATGAGTCTATTACAGATTAATAAAACAGACTTAAAATATCATAGGATTACGTAAGGAAAGTGATATTTTAAGTTAATACTGCAGTAGTACACAGAGCTTTATCTTGAATGTAATTCTTCCCTAGACATGTTAGTTAATTAATACATATATATTTTAATGTAACATAATCTATTTAAATTACATATTTAACAATAAGAAAACACAAGTTAGATTTGCAAAAACTTGTTATTTCTGCTTTTTTCATTTTCAGTTTGATTCTGGCAACATACATTCATTGCCATTGAATTTGTGGGGTATTTTTGGTTTTGTTTTGTCTTTTTGAGACAGGGTCTCACTATGCAGCGAGTGCTGGGATTACAGGAGTTGAATTTGGACTCATAAACCAGATACAAATTTGCATTAACACCCGCAAGAATGGAATCAACTAGGTAATTTCGAAATTCTCCTGGGTATTAAGAATTCATATGCTGTGCGAGGCAGGATTACTTCCAAACAGTTTGTACTCTAGCTCCCTGATGAATGCCATCCGAGTACGTGGCCTACCTCAAGGGCTCGGGCCAGGTGGAGTGGTGCAGACACAGACCCAGGGCCAAGGACAGGAGCAGTCACTAAGAGCCCTAAAGGTGGAACACGAAGACTGGAGATCCATTGTCCCGCAGGCAAAATGTGGAGAGGGGCGAGGATGGGGAGCGCTGGTAGGGGATAGAGCGCACCCTGAGACGACGGCGGCCGGGAAGGCGGCGCGGCAGCCTCAGCCCGACGCGCCTGCGCACTGCAGGGGGGAGGCGGGGCCGAGAGGCGGGAAAGCGCGGCGCGTTCTCAGGGACCCGGATTCCCCGCGCCCGGGGCTCGTCTGCTGTCTGACCCACCGGTACGAGGCTGCGCCCGCACGCGCACCCTGGCTCCCCCGATGAACACTAAGCAGCTGCTGCGCGTTTGTGGCGCTTCTTCCAGTGCCTGCCCCTCTCCTCCCTGGCCTTCTGGCCTGCCCCGGGGACCCGGTCCCTCTGTCCGCGGGGAGCCTGGGGAGCTGTGGGCCCGGGCACCTCCGAGCTCTCTAGGCCCGCAGGCCTCTTCGGACGCGGCCGGGCGCAGTCGCCTCCGCCCGCCCTCTGCTGGTCGTGGCGCGCCCGCTCCACCTTCCGGGTGCTCTGTGCCCCAGGCCGCGCTCCAGCGTCCCTAGGCCGCCCGACTGCCCTGGGCCCGGCGGTCCCTGGCCTGGGTCCCCGAGTCTGCGCCACGGCTGAGCTCCTTCTGCCTGAGCTCCACACTTTGTGCTGTCTCACCTCTGCCCAGGCATCCGCTTCCCTCGGCCACAGTCCTCCCCAGGTCTACCCCATCTTACAGAAATCACCCCTGCTCCTAGCTGCGCCTCCGCCTTGTGCGAGGCCACCTGGGTGCCTCACTTCCGACCTTTCTTACCCTGCTGAGACTGCAGGCGGCTCTCCTGCCACCTGCCTGCCACCGACGACGACGCCTCCTTTACTTTATTGGGGCCCGCTCGCAGAAACTTACTAGATTCAAAGATGCACTCTAAGGTTCTTTTCCTTAGACAGTGACCGCTTAGGTCAAATGGGTGGCCCTCACTAAGCCCCTTGAATACCTATGGCCCCCGGGTGCTGGCCACTGCTCTTTCTTCGATTGCACACCCAGTGGCCAGGCCAGCTCATGACCCCAGCTGCCACCTGCAAGCCAGCGACTCTCAGATCTAAACATCGTGCAGCTGAAGATCCCTCTGGGCTTTCTGGGTGGCAGAACCTATCCTGCCCCTTCGCCTTTTTTTTGCCCAGTTTGGACCACATACATCCATCACCGAGAACCTGCCTTGGTGCTTTGGGATGTGGTTCTTCCACTCTATTGGAATTCAAGGTGGTCCCAGGATGCAGCACCTCCTACCTTGGTGATTATTATGGTTTTTGTAACCACTGGCCGGCAGGCTGTTCAGGCCAATCCAGAAGCGTCTTCAGAGTTGATGTGGTTATGGCACGTGTGTTAGTGTGGGATTTATGGAAGCAGATGATGAGACAAGCATGCCTTGTGGGTGATTTATTCTTTGTGTGAGTGTGTGTGTGTTGGGGGTTGGTCCCCAGAAACAGTGGTCGACTGAGGGGTCACTGTAGAATAGACTCTCCAGCTTGTCCACCTCAGGCCTGGGTTATTTTGTTCTGACTCTTTATGGAGCAGGGACGGGAAAGAGGTAGGAAGGCTGAGCAATCCTTTCTGTTCCTTCAGGGCCTGGAGGCAGGAACGTGTGCAACCGCAGGCCTTAGGAGTTGAGCTGGCTATTCAGAAAGTGAGGCTGGGGTTTGGGGTGGGATGTACTCAAAGAGGGCTGGGCTGGCTGGCCCAAGGCTGGGGCTCAGCGAGGGATCAGCGCTGTGTCTCCCTCGGCTGCCCTGCTTACTGATGGCTGCAGATCCCACTGCCAAACCTGCCGTCTGCTCTCTGCCTGACCTTTACCCTGCAGCCTTTCCCCTTGCCTCCACAGGGCTCCTTCCCATGGTCTGCAGGCCTGTGCTTGAGCATTTCTTTCTCTGCAGCGCCCTCTCTTAGGTTAGCATGGAAGGTCAGTTATATATGTAGTTTACTAACTGAACTCGGTCAGCAGCATAGAACTTGGCTCCAAGAGAAGTTATTAATCCTGTTTCTGCATCTAAGGACATTGGAGCTTGGGGAAGCACAAAAGCCTGTGTCTTGCATTAGCCACTAAGATGGGCTGTGCTATACCTCCCAACGCAGCCCAGCAGTGGCCTGCCCTTCCTCCTCTTGACCCAGACAGACGCCATCTTGTCTGTCTTCTTGTACTTTTGATATGGATGCCATATTACAGCTGGTGTGATCTTGTAGCTAAGCTGTTTGTGTCTTCACCTGATTTCCTTTTTCAACCCTAAGCCCCTGATATTTCACCCTCAGTGCCTGGTCTGCTGCTTAATGTGGAGTAAAGCCTTCCTTAACGTCTAAAATTAGAATGAAGTTGTGTTACTATTAAAATTTGATCCTGTTTTAATAAACACTGAGGAATGGATTGGCCTGAAATCCACCTTGAATTCCAATAGAGTGGTTCCTTAACTGAACCCAGTTTTGACTTTTCTGGGCATATTCAGGTGCATAAGACAGAAACAGAAACATTAAAGGACCATGATCTAGGTACTGGGAGAATCCCCCAAATATTTGAGACCTTTCCATCTGTCAGGCCTTCTAGAAAGACCAAAGTCTTTACTGAAATCAAGGAATAGTCTATTGTTTTTTCTTTTGCAGAGATTATCAAAATAAGACAATTCCTCCTCAGGCTTTGTGATTTGGGATTTGTTTATAGGACAAATCTGAGTCACACTACCCAGTGATTAAGGAAGAGAAAGTGTCAGTGGCCAGCTTCCCCTTGGGAACCCTGCCATCTTTATTAAGTTTGTTGAGTTGACATCAACAGCCATAGACATTTGCTAGGCTTGAGTATGGACTTCACCATAAAAAGGGAGGGAAGAAAACTTCTTACTGGGAAGAAACTTCCACCTAGGGATGCTGCACCACACCAGCTCACAGAGACTCAGGAACAAGGATTTTATTTCCCTTAATAAAAACTAATTGCATGTGCAAATTTGTAAAGACCCAGCTTCCTCCTCAGAATACTGAATCCACTAGTAAATGTATACCATCAAAGCAAAGACAAAATGCTGATGATTATAACTTCTTTTGGTAATGGGATCATGGGAAAGAGCAACAGAGGCATAAAGGATGAGAAGCCCATGATTTCCCTCACCTGGTCAAGCACTCACCTGCACTGTGTTGAGACTACCTAGTGTACATGGGTGGGACTTTTAATGCCACGTGACCAGCAGGGACAAGAAATGTACAGCTACTGTCCTGCTAACCACAGGGGAAGGTGATTATAAAGGAAAAGTACATCCCTTTTTTCTTCTCTCACCACCCCAGTTTGCAGAAAGTCGTCTTTCACAAAAAAATGCAGCAAAACCCACTTTCTTTACAGTACACTTGGATTTTTCTAAGGCTGTGAAAGTGAATCAACTAATATAGACCACATGAATAACCTTTTACTGTCATGATATCTGTAGAGTTTGGCTCTTCATTTCCTCTTGAAGATGCTTTGTCTATCCTCACAGAAAAGGCAGTGTCTTCCTTCTGATTTTGAAATTCCTTGTGCACACAGCATAGTGTCTGTTGGTCCATAGTGTCTGTTGGTCCACGGGGGAGTGCTGTAACAGGCCTGAGAGCTGTGGGAAGTCTTGCTGTCCTCAGATCCACATCAGCTAATCTGGAAAATGTTAGCCCTCTCACCATGGATCGTCCTTATTACAGTTCTTTACTTTTTATTTAAGGTCACATTTAAGATTATTTGCTAGTGTGTAAGTACTAGAAACATTTTCTGAAAATTTTATTATACAGTTGTGTTTGTATGTTTAGAGATATGTGGAAGTATGCAACTTTTGAACTTCTTGATACTTTGTTTTTACTACAGTTCTTGCCCTAGTATAAATCACTGTACAGTTATGGCAGAGGTCTAATGTGGCGGAAGGCCAAAGCAGAAATGCTTACCACTTCCTGCTGCTTCTTCAGCCCTAATTGCAACTTACCTTCCTGTTTGCATGCACAGAGAATTCTAATCAGTCCCTCACACATCATCAATATCCGCCTCATGTGCCGTTGCAATCAGAGATCATAGAACCCTCTGCTTCTCTGTATCTGGTCAAAGGAGACAGCCCAGCCTCCATGGGTTGTGTGCTCCTTTCCATGTCCTCAACTCAATAAACCTGTTCACTTGGTACGTTTGTCTTGTAATCCAAAAATGAGCCCCTATCCCCACAACCTCGAGTCCAAAAATGGGGCAAGACATGTTTTTAAAAAGCAGCACTGATTTATTTTATCCTGGGACCAGCAACACAGTGCAGTTGGAGTTTGCAAAAGCTGTGTGTCTCCCTCAAAACTTTTCAGACTTTTTGTAGAAAGCACAGTTTACAAAGTAAGGGATTATGAGCGTGGATAAGGAAATGAAAAATCCTTGATCTGCTAAGGAATGAGAAAGACCTTTGTATCCCTTTGCAGAGGACAGAGAAGTCTCGCAGGAATTTATAATCCTTTGTCAATTTATTTTAGCACTCAATTTTAGATAACATCTGTTGTTTGCATAGGGCAGCTGTTGGGAGCCGCAGCCCCGAGCCCGGTCGCCTCACTTGGCGGACGTGAGGCCTGTAGTAAAGAGTGAGGCCTGAGGTAGATTACCCCTCTCATCAAATATGTTAGTTTCCTGCTTACCGCGTAAACAACCCGCTCAACAATATAGTTTGCCTGGCAACTGATGATGTTAGCCAATCAGCTTGTCTTGCTTACTTTAACATGATTGGACACTGTACCCGTATATATACCGGTGCCACCCCTGGGCGGAAGAAAAAGCCAGATAGAAGCCCGAAAGTAGAAGCCCAAAAGGAGCCGCGGAGAGCGGACCGGTAGAGGCTTTGGGGCAGGCTGAAGCACAAAAGGAGCCGCGGGGAGCAGACCAAAGGAGGCTTCAGCTGGGAAAACCCAGGGCAGGCTGTACGGAGAAGAAAAATAAAAAAAAAAGGTTGTCCACTACCAGACTGTGTCGTGTGTCCTTCCTGCCGGCCGGGAGCGGACATCGACATTTGGTGGCCCGTACGGGGACTGATCACCCCCGAGACGTGGAAGTGGACAACGCTCCAGTACAGAGCTGCGAGACAGGTGAGTTGGGGATAAGCCTGGGCTCTGGGTGGCGCGCACCTACAGGGCTTTTAGACTCCCCTCAGGCTCACGCGTAAGTGGCGGATTCCTTGGGCCTCACGCGGTGAGTAACATATTAAAAAATGGGAAACATGCTAGGTAGCGGCACTAAGAGCGAGGGTGGCTGTGGAGAAAGCTCTCAAGAGCTTACAAAAGTACGCAGGGTATCTGAACAGGCCCAGTCAGGGAGCTCCCGAGAGGTGTCTGTTAAGGGGAACAAGGATGCTAAGGAGGAGGACGGGGCTCTAGCCTCGGAGTCGTCTGACTCCGAGGACGAGGGAAAGTTGAATGGCAGGGAGGCCAAAGAGACCAGCTGTCAGGAGCCTAAGTCGCTCAATAAGGAGTCGCAGGGTTCTTTTCCAGCGTTGCCCCGCGAATTGCGCTCTGCTCAACCTGGTCTGCGGAGGAGTAGAGAGCTCCTGAGCGCTCCCCGGCGCGAGAGGGAGGCGAAGCCTTCCGCCCCACCTTGGGGGCCGTTTCCGGAGGCGATCCCTCGCCGCGGGGCGGCCGCCCGGGAGCTCCCTTCCTCTTCGCCAGAACAGGAAGTGATGCACGGGCCCCCATTTTCCGC